CACTCTTTCACCACCAGCAAAATGGAGGAAGGCAAAAACTCTTAAGATAGCCAACCCGGGTTTCCTGCATTTGTCAGTTACCTCCCAGTTTTATGGTCCCTTTGTTGACTGAAGGAGAGAAAAGGGACTGAAAGCCTCTCAGAAAAGAAAACTGCTCTGTCCCCCACATTCTTCTACTCGCTTCGCTGGACTCAAAACAAGGGCTTACTTTCCCTTCTTTTAGAAACTAGGAATCGAGGACATCAAAGGGTTGTGGATGTTCTGGAGGATAATCTCCTAGCATGGGAAATACTCTTAATTAGCTATTTTATTTAAAATTTTGGGGGCTTTACTGACATTTGGGCTGCTTAGGCAATTTAAGAAAATCTTCAAATAAGAAAACTTGTCTCCAATTTATGCCTTATGTTAGAAAAAAGTTTCCCGAAAATAAATGTCAGACAGTAAGCGCTCATGCTAGATGTTTGTGATCCACACTCAGAACCCCTGTCCTACCTTTCCTAGAAAGGACTGCTATATGGCTTGGAAATAGGATTAATTCATTTTCTGCCCAGATAGGAAAATCTATTCATAACATTTTCCTGTTCAGGCGGGAGAAGTGGCTACTGGGAAGAACAAACAAAAAGCTGGCTGGGAATCCATAAAGCTCCACTGTTCCGTGATGCTTTCTCTACTGCGCTGCCCACAGGAGGGAAGACAGCAGGGTCACGTGTGATGTTACATGTGACTGTACGGCGCAGGGGTTAAGCTCGGTGTCATCTGATGGCTAGGAGATTATCTTGAAGCTCCTCATGGAGTTTGGCCGACCCTGTCGGATGCTACAGTTGAGGCCAGGTTCGTGTTAGAGAAATGAACTCCATGGAGCCGAGACTGCAGTGCCCGGCTGAGCTAGATATTTGCAAAAAGAAAGCAGGGACCGGCTGACAGTGCCAATTGTAAACAGAAGCTTTTGAGCAGAATGACACGTTGCTATAGGGTGCCAGCAACATCCTTACCCCTTAGCAGGCAAAGGAGCCGAGGTGAGAAAACAAACCCACCTGATCCACTGCTGCTTTTTCATTTAGAGGGAAAAAAAAATTGTTTGGGAACTCCAGCTGCTTGAACAGAAATGGCTTTCTGAGAAGATAGAAGCCCCAACTGGAAAAGGGGTGGTGGCAGTGAAGGAGCTGTCAGGTGCCAGGTTCGCGTGTGAAGGGTCCACACCGGAAAGCATGAGCACCAGAACTGCCTCAGCAGCTCCAGGACACGGAGAGCCCAAGAGCAAGTTCTAAGACAGGGTCACTGTTTAAGGACAGAGGGACCTTTGTATACGTTCTTAGTGAAAAGCTCATTTTAAGGATTTAAAGTTTGCTAAAATCCCAGGTGTTTTCCATTTATTTTCAAAGGAGGAGTGTCCTTCAAATATAGCACATGAGAGATTACAATATTCCTATTTTCAGGGACATATGTTATATAGAGGGAATAATTTCAGATTCGTAAACCATATTGCATAGAAAGAGGGACATGAGATTCTGGATATGGATTTATTAGGCGATGGGGATTCTTTTCTCTGATTTAATAGATTTTCCAAGTTCTGAACCATGGGCCAAGGATAGCCCTGTTCTGTTCTGCCTGATGCCCAATGGAACTGTGGGTGACCAACCTAGAACCATGGCCGTTAGGCCTGAGTTTTCATCCCTGCTGTTACCTCTAACACATCCTTGTCAAATGGCAAGTGTGAGAAGCCCACACTGGCCTACTCGTTGTGGAAGGAGAAAGTATGTAAAAAGAAAGAAAACTGAGCAAATCCTGCGGATACAAACTACAAAGTGTTTTTCTGCTTCCTAAGAGATTTACTCCATCCTTCTATTTCTAGAGCTTTTCTAGGTTGGAAATGTTCAAATGTGAGTAGTGTTAGATCCAGGTCGAATGAGGGTTTTGTAAAACACTGAATGATGATCAGAGAAAGGCACAACCAGCCTTGGTAAAAGCACATTAAGCAGGATGCCAAAATATACCAGATCCTCCTATAAACAGCATGGATTACATTCACAGGCCTCCCTGGGTGAGTGGAGAGGCTGATTCCCTACTCTCTCTGCCTACCTTACGCTCACCCCATGGTTATATAACATTTAGAATGGAATCTGGAAATTCTTCTGACCCTGCCCTGCTTGCTGATAGAGCTGAGCCAGTGGCTGGCAGGGGCATAATCTAATAGGCGAAACTGGAAACACAAATTCACAGTCCTCTTGTGTCAGCCCAGAGACTGTGCAGGCAAGGAAAGAAAGACTCGCCCCTGTCTCCCTCCTCCCTTCTCTGGCCTAAGTTTACACTGACTTCACCCAACAGGCACCTGACCCTCCCAGATGAGCTGGGAGGGGCTAAAGCGCCATGCACATGGGGTGGAGGTGCAGGCAGCAAACGATATTTAAGATGCTGACTCGGTAGAGCATTCGGGCTTGGGAAGGAGAGCTATAAGACACCCGACGAAGCTGCACTTTCAGAAACTCACGCTTTGAGGAAGGCCAAAGAAGAGCAAGGAGAGAAAGCACAACCGAGTGGTGAGCCCATCAGGGTGGGAGCGTGAGGCTGCAACTGTCGCAGCTTCGCAGACCTCAGCTGGGCACATCCAGAGTCCCCCGAGGAAGAGCCTTCCCCACTCAGGCTCGCGAAAGATGCCGCCAAAGACTCTCTCAGCTGTGATCTGGCTCTGCGTTTTCATCTTGGCCTTTGTCAGCCACCCAGTGTGGCCACAGAAGCCCCCTAAGCGCAAGACACCCGCGCAGCTCAAAGCAGCTGCCTGCTGTGAGGAGGTGAAGGAGCTCAAGGCCCAAATTGCCAACCTGAGCAGTCTGCTGGGCGAACTGAGCAAGAAGCAGGAGAAGGACTGGGTGAGCGTGGTCATGCAGGTGATGGAACTGGAGAGCAGCACCAAGCGCATGGAGTCGCGGCTGACGGACGCCGAGAGCAAGTACTCCGAAATGAACAACCAGATCGACATCATGCAGCTGCAGGCAGCGCAGACTGTCACACAGACCTCGACAGGTAAGGAGGACATGTCCTCAGTTACTCACCACCCTGCCCTCGAACAGTTGAGTGTAGCACTGCTTCTAGGTAACCTGGTCGTCAGAACAATTACTGGGCGTGCCTTTGGGGTCTACTTGCCACCGGCTGTATTTTCTCTTTGGTAAAGGCTTATGGAGAATTTCTTTTGATTTCTAATGTTCTGTAAATTTACCCAGTACCTTCGCAGGTCTCCTTTATTCACACAATGTTTCAGCACACTGAACGCATGAATTACCGTCTTGGAGCACAGAGAGATTATGTGGTTTGCCCCAAACCACACAGCAAGTCTTAGAAACAGGGTTTGTCTTCCTGGTTGGTTCCTTCCTTACCCAGATGTGACCGGCTGTACCCTCAGTCCCCAGGAAGCAGAAATGAACACTAAAACCATAACATCTGTTGCTTTGGAAGCAAAGTTTTGCCAAAAGCAGTTCTCTCGCGTCTCTGAACATTGAGTGGGGTGGGCGTAACCGGCATTTCATATCTTCTCTCTGCAAACCTTACTCTCCTCACTGGCCCAGAATGAAGTGTACAGACACTGCCTAGAGCCACCTAAAGAATCTGTCTGTATTTAGGAAGGACAGGTTCCTCAAGGTTCCTCAGTTCTGATATTTCTATTTTTCCCCAGGATCCCAAATAAAATTCTCCATAAGAAAATGTAATGCTGAAATTTGGATTTTTAGGATGTCAAAAATAAGACACATTTAATATTTTCTCTTGCAAAATAACTTTTAGTTTCTGTTTAGCTTGGCTCACATGGCCCAAAGTGAATTTATTGTTTAGAGAAAAGTTTGGTTTTATGAAGTTATCAGGAAATTATTAACTGTAAGGAGCATATCCTATAGATTATGTCTTTCCTGCTGTTTTTTTATAAAAACTTTTTGGTCACACTATAAACCGAGTCAAGAACAAAGAACAGAGTAATTCACTGGTTACCAGTCCAAATGAAGAAAAAAGTTTTAACATGAAATTAAGCTTAAAAATTAGGTTTTCTTGTATTTAAAGATAAGATTACAAATCTATCTAAACCGATGTGTGTAAATCACTTTCTAAGCACGCATTTCACTTCCTGGCCCTCAGTTTGGGACTAGAGAGGTACGCTCAGGCCATTTTCCAGACAAGTGAGTCCTGATTCGGTCTATGGGATGAAACCAGGCATGTGGAAGACCAGCCAGGCAGAGAAACCCGAGGAGGCCACTTCTTGCTCCTCCAAATGGGATTTTCTCACCTCCAGCAGGGAGTTTCTTGGGAGTCAAACACAGCTCTCCCGCCAGGCCTCTTCTCTTCTTTCTCAGGATGCCATTCCTTATTTCTCTTCTCTGTTACCAGGTGCTGGGCACCTTTATACCCTGTAAGCAAGTAGCCCCTCACAGAAAGCAGTAAGTTGATGGTTTTGTCAGTCACAGGAAGTGAAGAACTCTGATGGCAAAGACGAGCCTTGCCCCTTCCCAACGTGCTCTGCCTTGGATGACTCCCCACGGTGGGTCATGGGGCCCAGGGCAGCGGGCACAAGACAAGACTCCCAGGATACGGGGGGCAGGAAGCGTCTCTGGACAGCCAGAGCTCAGCCCTCTGACTCCTATCAGGAAAGGCTGTCCTTTCTTCCCTGTCTTCAATATTCAGAACAAGGAGACAAAATGTGACATAAAGCAGCAGCCCCCAAGGCGGCCAGGGAAACATTTCAATCAACCCCAGAGTGAAAACCAGCCTGTCCAATGCTCTCATTTCCTTGCATCAATCACCATGTCAGGGAAAAGCCTCCAATGGTTCCTTGGAGTGCATTTTCATTTGTCTAGCAGTGTTAGATTAAGGAGCGGGGCGGGGGAAGGAGATAAGATTAGAAATCTCTCTCTCTTAATTAGGGCCTTAGTAGCCATTACCTCTGAAAAACAAAACCAGCAACCAACCAAATGAACGAAGGACAACAAAACCAGACTTTATGAGATACTCATGATTTATCTGGTAATAGAGGCTGGCTGTCTCAGAAGCTGAATCTATTAGAGCATCTGTCATGGGGCTCTCACACACTAATATTTTCAGACTTCACAGCCTAGAACTATAGCAGGATAATTTATTTCAGAATAAACCTGAAACCACCTGTTGATACTCTCCAGGTGAAGGGCTTCTGCATCATCGGTGAAGCCATAATACACCCCCTTTTGGCCTGGTAATGGCCACCTTCCCCACATCCAGACACTGCCTAGAAATGAACACTCATATGGATTTTGTGGTGGAAATGGAGTCACAGTGTTTAAACTTTCGATTTTGACGCAGCAAGAAGGCCTACCTGCCAGGGAGCCCGGTTCGAAAGCTCATCGCTGTGGCCTGTTCCTTTTGCAGATGCCAGCTATGACTGCTCGTCCCTCTACCAGAAGAACTACCGCATCTCTGGCGTGTATAAGCTTCCTCCTGATGACTTTCTGGGCAGCCCTGAGCTGGAGGTGAGGTTATCACCACTCCCTGCCCATGTTCTACCATCCGTCCTCCATGCCCTCAAAAAACTGGGGACAATTCTGACAAAAAGGCTAGTCAGAGTCTAAAGAAAGGGAAAGTCAAGATGAAGAAACAACACACCGAATACCAGGGAGCTGTCCAAACATTCAATTTGTGAGGGGAAAAAAAAAAAATCCAGGCTCTGTTTTGCCCTTTCAAGTCATTATCAACCAAACTCCAAGCTTCTAACACAGGTTGGGAAGGAAATTCTAGAGCCACCACCTAACTGGCTGAAATCTCTTGCCACGACCTAGAGCAGTTACTCTTTGAGGGAAGAGAAAAGAAACCATGGAGGGAGCCCATCAGAGATCCCTGGAGTTTCCCCTTCAAGGCTAGTGGGCGCCTCCTCGCCCCACACTGGGGCCGAGGCGCACCACAGTGCACCTGTGGCAATGTGGAAGCGCCCGCACCCACTGGCTCTGCAGGAAAGGGAGACGGGGTGGGAGATCCACTCCCACGCTCCTGCTCCTGACCCCATGCGTTCCTGATCAGAGCATCTCTGCCAGGTGTTCTGTGACATGGAGACGGCAGGCGGTGGCTGGACCATCATTCAGAGACGAAAGAGTGGCCTCGTCTCCTTCCACCGGGACTGGAAGCAGTACAGGCAGGGCTTCGGCAGCATCCGCGGGGACTTCTGGCTGGGGAACGAACACATCCACCGGCTCTCCAGACGGCCAACCCGGCTACGTGTGGAGATGGAGGCGAGCACAAGCCTGGGGCCCGGGACTGCACCAAGCCAGCACGTGTGACTGTGCATAACTCTGGGGGTGCCATTCCTAGTATTACTCACTTTAGGATTATGTATTTATTATGAGAGTTTTCCTTCAGGTTGCAGTACAGTTGAGGAAAAATAGGCTCTTTCCTATTTTTCAGAAAAGTGAGGCTGCAGGTACACAAGAAGAGGCCAGGCTCAGGCCAGAGCAGAGTAATCCAACACAAGGTCCCCTAGGTGCAAACCTTGCTGACACTGGTTGGTGACCCTCGTCAAAGCCCTTGAGGCATCAGTAAAGTACTCTTATGACAGCTCGAAGTCATAAGGTGAAAAAACACACCTTAGGGACAGGGAAATGAAAGGATAGAGAGAGAGTAATCGAGGCGGTATGGTGACTCGGAAGGAAAGTCTGGCCTAGGACCCTCGCGTTCTGATTCCCGGGTTTAGAGGTAAACAAGTGGTAAAGCCTTACTAGATTCCCAGCAGTAAGTATGGCTGCTGGCTGGAGAGGGAGACGTGTGGGGGATGGGGGCAT